CACCACAGGCGGCTCGGGTCCTGAACACACAGGGGTGCACTATTGGGCAGCTCAGGAGAGAACATGGTCCGTCACCGGGCAGCTCAGTCCCCGGAGGGACGGGACGGCCAGCTCGCCGCCGCTGCGGCCGCCGCGCCGGTGACACGTGCCACCGAGCCTCAGCACCCGGCTGACGAAAGGCGAGACCTAACGGTTCGCGGCGACATACCGCACGTCAGCTGCCCACCCATTAGCTGACATGTAACACTCGATTCACCGGGGACTGAACGAGCGACTGGACGGCGGCTGGGCCGCAGCATATCAAATAATTCAGATGGCTATCTGTTGGTAAAGAGTCGCTCCCACTAAGCTATAACGGCAGCATGGTTTCGTGCTAACTTTAGATACGTCCAGAAGCCTTTTTAGTGTCGAGATAAGCCCAGACATCCGTGTGCCGCAATAACGACTCCATATTTAACAGGCATATCTTGGCGATTCCACGAACTGATGTCTAAATATAAACGGCGAGACGGTTATCTTTCAGGCTGACGAGGTCTCCATTGAGCCAGAGAAGGTTAATGCAATGAGCGGAAGAAGCGGGAGGTGGTAGACTGTAGATCGGTGGACGGCAGTCGAGCCAAATTACCGTGGCCGATGGAGAAACAGCAGTACCCGGTTCCCAGCACTGCCTCGCTGCCGCAGACAGTCGCGGAAATCCCGGGGAGGTAAACAGCGAGCGAAGAGATGATCCACGCTCGGACAAAGCGCGTCAGAAGCGCCACAGTCCGGTCCTGAGCCAGTCACTGAGCCACCAGGGCGGCAGACAGCGAGAGTCAGTCTCATTGTGCAACGAAGGAATGTCTACACTAGACCGTTAGTGCCCACATTGTAAGAAAATGTTAGCAAGGAGTCGACAACCACGCAACACGCACTCTATTTAACGGGCTCCGCAGCCCGTTTCCATCGTTTCCACAGCTCTCGTCAGCTGTTATCGGCGAGTCGCAGCCGAGGAAACTGTAACAGCAACGCAATACGACACCACACCAACCGGGACACAGCAGTGCTCGTCATCCATTCAGACACTGCCGATAGAGCGCCACCCATTAGAAGAAGAAAAAACAGCAGCGGGCGGCGGCATAACCGAGTACCTGCGCCATGAAGCCGGTACAGCACATTAATGGCGTGGAAATCGGTTCCCAGCAGAGTGCGTCCGGCCGAGCTTCCAGAGACTGGTGCTCCCAGCTACTCAAATAGACCGTCGCCGGACGAGAGGCAAAAACGAGCGCGGCTCGGCGGCCCGTCACAGCTGGATACGGCGAGGGGGCAGCCCCTCCGTCGGCGTGGTCGGGTGGTCCGTCGGCGCGTCATCGCCGCCGACGGACGTCATCGGCCGTCATCTGACGTCATCGCCGGCCCCGCCGGCCGAGCCGCCCCGACCGGGAGCAGCTATCCCGGCCCGCGCCCCGTGTCCGCCGTCCCGACACCCACCGCCCACCGTCTCTAGTCCACCGCGATCCGCCTGATCCACCGGCACCACCTGCCCGCTGTCCACATTCCACTGCGCTCCGGCGCCCGCCGTAATCCACCCGATAGGCGGCCGGCCGCTCACAGTTGAGCCTCTCGAGCCGGCGGCCGGCCGGCCGGCTCCGCCCGCCGCCGCTATCAGAGTGTTTGTCTGGCCAGGTCGCGGCCGTGCCTCACATTGCACGCCCCCCGGGTGGCCGGGGCGCGGCGGCGGAGGGCCGGCCGCCGCCACACTGCCGCCGCTTTCCCCGGCCGCCGGTTCAGTCAGCACACACACCGCCGTCCGAGCTGCCCTGTAAAAGCGGCGCGGCTCGGACCGAAATCCCCTCCGCGGGGATTTGGCCCGCCTCGGACTTGCTCCACCCAACACCGTCTGAACTCTAAACAAAACCAGTGGAGGTCGAACCGTCCCTGACGTTCATACGATAGTTCGACCCAGAACCGGTCCCTTAATCAGGACGTCAACCACTGGCGCTTAACGCTATCCGACACTTGGATGCGGCCGCCAGTGGCTCGATTTGAACTTCTCCATTCAATCTGCAGCTCTACCATCTGCAGTAAGGTGACTGTGCAAGACTAACTCCCCCACTAAGCCTTCTTTCCGTTGCCTGCCCACTAAATCCCCAATCACGCAGGCGGCACACAACACTGCAGTCAGTTCCTACACGAGGCCGATCTGCCGGATTTGGTTCAGGTCTCCAGCGAGAACATCGCACCGCGCCTCTGCCGCACCCAGACTTTCCTTCTCATGACCTTTTCTCACACTCACCTCTAATAGGAGGCTTGATTCCGTCCTTCGTGTTTTTTTTTATCCTACCTGTGAATAGTTTGTGACGGGACCTCGACCCTTAGTTGACAACATCGCCACGACTTATTGGCCGAAACAGTGGCAAAATGTTCTTATTCAAAGGTCCATGAAGAGCGATACCGTGCCTTCCCCTGGATGCAAACTACTTACGAATTCTCCAGAAATGATTGGATTATCTTCGGTATTCTTTCCACGTTTTAGCTGTTAGCATAGGCATGGCTAAAAATAAAATCTACACTTTTTAGCTCCAAAGTCACATCTGCCAGAAATGCCGACACAACATTTGAGCGTTGATGACGCAAGCAATCAATTAAAAATGGCTTCGTTTTGCCTTTGAAGTTCACAAACGCTCCTACCAACAATCAACATATAAAAGCGAGCGACCGACATCCGCGGGTAACAATAGCCGAGCACCGGCCGTTTCTAGAAAGCCGCGCCGCCTTATATAACTGGCGGCCGTGTCGCCACAATGTCATGTGGGGCGGGAAATATCCCGCCGTGTCGGCCGGCTCCGACCAGGACGGGACGGACAGGAGGAGAGCGGGGAGGGGAGCCGGACGTATCGGTCCGGCCCGCCACCGCGGCCAGTCACCCCTTCCCAACCACGGTCCACCAGCGCCGCGCCGCGGCTCACACCTTACTGACCAGCGCCGAGCCACACCGAACACCTTTCTGAGTGGCCGCCGAGCCACGACCCACACCTTTCTGAGCGGCCGCCGAGCCACGACCCACACCTTTCTGAGCGGCCGCCGAGCCACGGCCCACACCTTTCTGAGCGGCCTTCGAGCCACAACTCATACCTTTCTGAGCGGCCGCCGAGCTGGACAGAATGGGACTGAGAGGTCCGAGGTGGCAGGACTTTCCTCTTTCCCGCTCGACACCACACGGCACGGAGGAGCAGGAGAGGGCAGAGCTAGGCAGAGACAGATCAGGGCAGGGCAGGGCAGGACAGGACAGGACAGGACAGGACAGGACAGAGGCAGGGCAGGGCAGGGCAGGACAGGGCAGAGCTAGGCAGAGGCAGAGGCAGGGCGCGGCGAGGAACCGAGTGCCACAGGCCACATAAGAGCTGCTAGTTACCGCCCACAAAACAACTGCCTTTACAGATGCATCTGGATACCAAAGACTTCGGGAATCTAGTACAAACCGTAGAAAACTGGTACCTAATGCAATGCATGACGCATAATGTACTCGCAAATTGATGCACTAGTCCATACATCCATGCGTTTGTCTTGTGGCAGTCAATCATTGAGAGTATCGTTCGTAACCTATGAACAGCGAACTTCTCGGAACAAGCGAAAATAATGAAGTGCCCACGACACCCACGATTGCTGTAAGTCTAAGGTGGTCTGCGACATTGGAAATGTTACGCAATTCGCAGCGAATCTCCGACCGAGGCTACCAGCGAGTGCGTAGCAGTGTGCAGCTCTCATAAAATAAACAGTCGCCCAACTATGTCAAAGAAAACATCGCCACACCAACGGATAAACACGTCACAAATCGATTCATGGCAACGATAACAATGTTTATGAAAAGGTATGCAAAAATTAGGGTCAGGTTTAAGTTCCCAGCGCGCAAGCATCGTAATACACAATGTATTCAGCAGGCCGCCGAGTTTATTGGAAATCCACTTCATATCGCGGGTCCAGCGCTGAAAGTCATGCCCCGTTGTGGTTTACCTTCGCCGGCTGTTTCCTCAACCAACAAGCTTATGCAGCAAGTTTGAAAGCCCCAGTCCTAAGCCAACAGGGAAAATCCGCCAGCTTCGGCCGACGTGTCGGCGCCACTCAGCATGATGACGTCATCACCTTCACGTGACATCACACCTCATCCAGCCAATGGCACGCGAGGCAACAAAAGCGAAGTCATTACAAACTCCGTCAATGGCAAATTCAAAAGAACGAGCTCGGTCGCCGACTTCACCCTCTGAATGCTTGCTTTGGTGTGAACACATTTAGCGCTTTGATTGCCTCCAATAGCGTCATACGCTTCCCTCAATATATTTGCAAATGTATTAAAAGGCAGATAACTTTTGATATGGCTAAATGTAAGAGGTCTGAATCAGAAATAAGCCTTGAGGCCTCTGTACCGGTTATTTTCGGCCATAAACCTAGCGAAGTAATGCAACAGGGCGCTTAGAATACACCTCCAAAGGCATGCTCTCTCTGGCCGGCGTCTGATCCGCACATCACGCAAGGACTTGTTTAGAAGCAGGTAAAGCGGCGGCCGGACGCGAGCGAAAACTGGAACGGCCGAGCACTGCTTATGGCCACCTTGGAGGCAGGTAACGAATGGCACAGAGGATAGCCAGCGGGTGACAAGAAAAAGAATGGCGATCGTGGCCTCCACATGTCGAAAACGACTCAACTCGTCATTTGACACCACTCTCCGGACTAAGTTTGCAACACTCTTTAACGTCAACCAGTCAATGCTGCTCTGCCTCCCCCTCGAACTGAGCGTATAACGCTAACTCATGGCGGTGGGTGGACCTCTCGAGCAGATGTCCGGGGTAAAAAGGAACAGTCGGTCTCCTCGGTGAGTCCCTATGGGCTGAATTTTACCATCGTGGTATCATACCATACCGATGGTAGTGCATAAGTATTTGTATTCTTGGGGTCCCTACAAAACTGCTGACCAGACGAGTGGCTGGCTCTGACTGCGTGGCTGCCCACGGGACGTTGCAGCTCACCTGGTGGGCTCGGCGGTAGTGGCTGGCTCTGACCGAGTGGTTGCCCACGGGACGTTATAGCTCACCTGGTGGGCTCGACGGTAGCCTACGGCTCGGTGTGCAGCGCGGCTCGCCGCCGCCGTCTGGCCATCCAACGGTCTGTCGGCGCCCACAGCACGCAACACGGCGCCCGCACACCTGACGACAACAGGTCACCGGTCAGTCACACGGACAGCACGGGTCAGTCACACAGACAGCACGGGTCACGGGTCACGGGTCAGTCACACAGACAGTACGGGTCACTGGTCACGGGTCAGTCACACGGACAGCACGGGTCACGGGTCAGTCACACAGACAGTACCGGTCACCGGTCAGTCACACACACAGCACGGGTCACCGGTCACGGGTCAGTCACACAGATAGTACGGGTCACCGGTCACGGGCCAGTCACACAGACACCACGGGTCACGGGTCGGTCACACGGACAGCACGGGTCACGGGTCAGTCACACGGACAGTATTGGTCACGGGTCAGTCACACAGACACCTGGCGGCAGCGCGGTCACGGGTCACGGGTCAGTCATACCGGCCAGGGGAACACTTCCGGTCCGCACGAGCCGCCGGCCGACCGTCAACAAACACAACGCGACAACAGCCGAGCGGTGCGGGCAGCGGGGCGGGCGTTAGAGCGGACTGCCGCCGCGGGGCGGGTGTCAGGGGAGCCTCTCTGGAAGGGAACACTAGCACAATATGGCAGGACAGCTCAGTTCAGCTGAATGACATCCGACACCCAACACACCACAACTGGACAATGGACAGCACTGTACCAGGGAGAGGGAACCTGCTGCCAATCAGATCCTAGTTAGGTATATTATGCGGGAGCAAGTGGGTCTACAAAACTACCTGTACATGTGAGTGCCTTTAAAAATGGTCAGCAGCATTATGAAAGGTACCAAACATAAAGCAACTATTTTGAAATCAATCACACATTATTTTCGTTAGGCCTTACAGAAGTTGTCATGGTAAATTTGGGGTTACATAGGCACATTTATAGCTGCATCGAAATGCCTCCGTGGTAGGGACAGAGCAGTTGGCTCCTCCAGCAGGCTGGTGCAATACATGAATCATGGTGCTGGCACACACCAAATTGCCAGCTGTTTTCACTAAGGTGCAGCCATTCCTGGTCCACCAGACACATACCTAGTCAGAGTTCCCAAACTGCCTGTCTCAGGTTTATTTTCCAAGCCACCAAAACAGGATATCATTTAACACCAAACAGGTACCTAGGTTAAAGAACTGTGAAGTTGACATGAATACCCTACCATGCATAGAACAATGGCAAGGAGGAAAACAGAGGACAGCATCTAACTTTGCTGATAAGTGTTAGCACCTTACCATACAGATTTCCTCATTTTCTCAGCCTTGCAACTCTCTGAAGGTAAATGGCCCCATTGTGATGCTTCAGAAATTCGAAATGGTAAGCTGGCAACACTGGCAGGCTTAGCCTCAGAACTGTGCAGTGTTGACATTTTCACAGTACATTTTGACATTTTGACAGTACAGTGAGGTAACAAGATGTACTATTTTACATCAGTCATCAATGACTTGAAACAGATCAGTTAATCACCATATAGCAATCAACTTCAACAATCAATTCTTACATGAAAGCACCCACAAGCATATGCTAGCATGTAGCTAAGTAGCAGCATTTCTTCACTAGGTAGGTACCTACCTGTTACCTTTCATCAGTGTTCAGGTGTAAAGTGTGGCAATGTAGTTAGGTGCTCATCAGCTAGTTTGATCACATTCTTATAGTAACAAATCTGTAAATTGGGTTTTGATGGCAAAATTATGTGGCTGAAGCATTAGTGGCACAATGGAACAGGTCACAGTGCCCAGAATTAAACAAAAACTTTGTGGTTGGTAGCAATAATCTGCCCAATCATAGTCAGATTCATAATTAATCAAATGATTAAAGAAAGCATGTTTTTAGGGCTCATGATTATAAATATAGCTGTAATGAAAAACCTAAGTCTCAGCTAATAAATTAAATGTATTTAAAACAAGGCCAAGAAACAAAGACAAGTCTAAACAGAAATAAGTCTTATTTTCTGAGCCTTATTTCAAATACATTTATTAGCATGAGGCTTAGATTTTTCCTAACAGTCATATCAGATTTGCAACCCTATTGTTAGTGTTTTAGTGCACTGATGAATCCTTTAATAGGCAACACCTTTAACAGGTACCAGCCAGCTGATAACATCACCATACTCATAGTTTTACTTTTTGACTTTACATTCAATCATACAGCCTATCTTATACCATATTTATTCATGCATTTAAACACTGATCTCGACAGGCTCGGCAATCCCAACATTCTAACGACTCTTTACCTTTAGTCCTTTGATGTGCCGCACACTAAACTAATTAAGCTTGCTGTAAAAACCAAAGTCTCAACAACATTTAATAGGTACATTTTACCCGGACCGATACATTCTATCACCTATCTTCAAAAGATAGGCACACACTGCACAGATCTATAGTGATGTAAGCTTTCAGCAACTGCTACTTATTCTATCAATAAAGCTGAGCAAGGTTAAACTAACAAACCCCAGCATGTACTATTACCATTTTGATTTACATACCCACCTAAATTCAGAAGTTCTTTTGTAACACAAACTAATACATTGACTGCGCCTCTTCGCCGTGGAAATGACGAGACTATTGTCTCCTTGTAGCTGCGTCCTGAAGTTGTCTGCAGCCACCCTTCGAAAACGCTTCTAAGAGTGAAGCGTTTCACATACCTGACAACACACGTTCCCAAAATTGAGCACCTGAAGTCTCGCAATCAATCACGCAACAGACTTTGCACACTGACTCCTCCAATCTCGTCGCTTCGGGGGCGGGGTAAGCAGCCAATAATTTCAGAGTTTCTACTACCGATTTCGGTTTCAGTGGCCGCGATGAGGTAAGTTACGCTCACTTGTAATGTATTTCAGTGCAGGATACCTGCTAATTCAAAATAAAGACAATTACCGGGGTTACATGAGCGATCCGTTCCAAATACGCACTACGCTAATGCGCATCAGCTCCCCACAAACGTATCTACGGCACCGGTTACATGAGACTAATTCGTTTTATCCAGGGGGTGTCGAAGTCTAGTAGGAAAATCTGGCAAATTCCCTACGTGACGTCACGTCGGGGATGACCGACGGCACCTTGCACTGAAAGATACGGCAGAACGGCTATTTTTGAAAAATGATTAAAAATACTTTTATGCTGTTATGACGCATAAAACGCTTATCAGCATGTTTCTCATCATGTGATAAAGGCATATCCGTGGTCGAAAATAGCTGAGCCCCTCCCAATTTCCAACCACCGACCTCATAAGCAAAGGATGTAAGCGTAATCCTTAAGGGCGACTTTCCTATACATATCCGTACATATGCGTCCTTATGGAAATCGGTAGTGTGGCGATTGGCGACGCGCGCGACATCTGTGTGGCGACCAAGTGGCGACTGTGGCGACACCTGGTGGCTGCTTTTCTGCTGTATGTAGGCATTGGGGTTTTGCCAGATGTGGTTCCTACTGCTAGACCACTATGTTGACCCAATACTAGAAAAGTTATTTTGCTAGTAAAAGGCAAGCAAAGTGAAAGTTGATTTATAAAATTGCTTATAAATGATTACGAGATAATAATAAAGAAATTTTGATTGAATAATTATTTAAATAATCAACCGTGAAACTATATTCTGGTAGGTTTAGTAGAAATAAGTCCGTGCAACCTTGTATTTAGGGCCTTGGTTTTATCTACGTCAAACGGATCTTGTTTGGCTCACCCGGGCTGACTCCTCGACGGCCGGTAATTCGTATCACAAACGGAATAGGATTAGCGTACAGTCATGGCGCAGTTGCGGCATTTACCGGAACGACTGAACTAAATTTTAAATAGTTATATCATTTGATAGGCTCAAAAACATTTAAAATTAACATGAAATCAAAAAATGAAAACAAAGTTTTCTTGTTTTAAGTCAGTGGGCACTGATTCGCCATGCAGCGACAGCAGGGTGGTCAGAAAAAATTATGTATCAAAATATTTCTTTCATTTTATTTCACATCCAAAGACTAAACCAAAATACCAACATTTTTTTTTGCTATTTTCTACGAGGCAGCCAATAAAAAAATGCTTAGTATTTTGCATTTTGACGCTTCCAGTCAGCAAAGAATAGTTCTTGTGAAATACGGCCCGAATCGTGTGCCTCGGACGTTTCGGTTACATGAGCGATCCGTTCCAAATACGCACTACGCTAATTCGAATCAGCTCCCCAAGAACGCATTCAGTGCACCGACTACATGAGCAAATTCGTATCAGTGACGTCAAACGGATCTAGTTTGGCTCTCGGCCCGATGCGCATTACAAACGGAATAGCATACAAATGTGGCGCACTTCCGTAGCAATAGAGGTGACTAAATTAAAAATTTATTATGTTATGTCTTTTTTGCATTTAATCTGCTCAAAACATTCTCAATTAACTTAACAAAAAGAAGTTGAACATAAAGTTGTCTTGCTTTGACTCATTGGGCAATTGCCTCTCTTCATTCGTCTGTAGTGCTGTCAGAAAAATGTTTCAACTGAAATTATGTGGATATTTACTATTTGGTTTTCACTATATTTATTGTTGAAAACTTGACAAAATACCGACATATTTTTTAAATATTATTTTAAAAGAAGAAAATGAAAAAAATACCAATTATTTTGCATTTTAATGTTTCTTTTTGCGAAGAAATAGTTCCTGTAATACGTATCTTGGTCCTATTCGCTTCTAAGCCTCTTTCCCAGCGGATTTTGTTCGGACCGCCGATTCGTATTAGCAGGTGGATACATGAGTCGGTAGTACGCTCCTGATTCGCATTAGCGGTGAATCCGATCGTGATACGTATTTGCTTTGCTCATGTAACCGCGGATCGGATCGCCGATTCGTACTAGCAGGTGGCTACATGAGTCGGTAATGCGTTCCTAATTCGAATTAGCGGCTAAATACGTATTTACTGTGCTCA